GTGATGATATGACATAGGTGCTAGCTAACAATGTGGTGGCAATAATTTTGTAATATATAAGTATGTGTGTGTGTGTGTGTGTGTGTGTGTGTGTGTGTGTGTATATATATATATATATATCTCGTAAACATGTTGTACATCTTAAACTTCTACACTGTTATATGTCAATTATATCTCAATAAAGCTTGGGGGAATAATAAAATTAGAAAGCATTCTTTCATTACAATCTTAAATTACTGAAGAGTGGTCTCATATAGTCACCAAAGACATAAAAAAGTCTAGACAATGGTCCTAGGTGGTAGTATTCAAGCTGTAATACAAATGAAATTCCTTCATTTCTGCAAAGTTCCCTCGTGAATTGCTGGGTGGGAGAGTATCCATTTCATTTATCTTGTTTTGCTTATTGTGCCTTCCACTTTTATGATTTCATCTACAAAGAATAAAAAGTACTATAGGTGGTAGAACTTCTTCCAACTAAGTACTGTTAGGAAATAAAATCCTAACAACAGTGTGCTCAAGAAGCTGGAATGTAGGACACAGCTGTGACCAATATTCCAAAAATAATGATGGTCTTCCAAAGAAGAACCAGTTGAAAATTAGGTATTCACAACTGTTGACTGAACTCTGAATCGTTCACAAAGTCATTTTGACTTTTCTTGTCATTCTTCAGATGAAAAGTCCTCAGGATAAGTATCACCTTACAGCCCATGTGATTATTCCACTAGTGAAATTTAATAGAGTCAAGACAAGAATAAAAAAAATCTAAGAACAGCCCAGTCGGCATGCCTCAATAGTTAAGCATTGACCTATGAGCCAGGAGGTCATGGTTTGATTTCCAGATTTGGGGCTCAGGGCCCAGTGGGGGCATACAGGAGGCAGCCAATCAATAATTCTATCTCATCATTGATTTTTCTCTCTCCCTCTCCCTTCTTCTCTAAAATCAATAAAAATATTTTTTTAATCTAAGAACATCTGTCAGTCTGAATTTTTTAACTCACCTTTTCCTGTGAGAAAACTATATGTCCTAAAGCTTTGCCATTAACAACTCTAAATGTAGACTGTGAAGGAATGCTTATCTGACTCTCAGCTCAGTGCTATATCTCACTGTAAAGAAACTCACAGCACAAGCTTACCCGACAAGAAAATCCAGCCTGTCTGGGGGAGGCAGACATAGCTTAGAAAGTTAATAAAACTAATCAGGAAGAAATATACTGGATATTTTTCATTTTAAAAATTGATAATTTATACTTTTATTAATATATTGGAAATAGTTATTATAAGTAACATTTATATGGCACTTAGTTTAATAAATATATTTACATACAATACCATATTTATTGCCACAGTTACCCCACTGGTATTTTTAATAGTTAAGTAATAGACAGATAAGGACCTAGGCTCTAATGGCCTTTATAATTTTTCAAGATCAAAAGTGAAAACTTACTCTGCTTTAAAAAGTATTTATCCATTACTTGAAACATAGACTTAGAAGTAAAGGAAGCTAACTAGTGCTGTGAGCTTCTATAGCAATAATAGTGTATTATTTGTACAGTATATTACAATGTACAAAGAATTAAAATGTTCTTTCATAAGCACATTCTCATTATGCTTCTGATCACTGAAACAGTAAAATATCAGAAAACAGTATCATTTTTTTTTTCATTTTACAGATATAGAAACTGAGGCTTACAAAAATGTAATGACCTAAGCATAATCTCACTAACCAAGAGTAATTCACTAAATCATTGAGCTTTTTGAGATTGGAAATTTAAGAGACACAATTTTGGCTAGTTGTTAATATAATAGGAACTTATATCATCCACATACACTATATAATTAAAATATAATAATTAATTATTTTCAAATTAAATCAAAGCTCCTCCTCCACCAATGGGTATTGTCAAACTCCCAAAAGGAGGAAAATAAAATAGCTAAAGCATTTGTGATGTTGTGTGGGGGCGTGGGGATTGTTTCATTTGTTTTGCTCCATTTTTAAAACATGTTCAAGGTAGGCTGGCAACTCTTTTGAAAATGTCAACTAGAAATAATTAAATTGGGGGGAAAGATTAAGCAATAAGATTAGTCCGTTATATATAATGCTGTGAGGAGGAGGGAGAGGAAATGTCTTAGAGAAGAAAGAGTAAGTTTTTCCAAAAGCAAAATTCACCAAATAAAACACTGGAAAATGTAATTCAATCAAGAAATAATATTTTTTTTCAATTTGGATTTATGTCATTGCTTTAGTAGGTAGTGTTAATAGTTTCCAAATGCCAATGTGTATTCATGAACACTTTGCAAGTTCATGATGTAATACATTCCTTTTTGGATACATCTTATGTCAAATCCATCTGTCTAAGGCAGATATGCATAGTTTTACAGAATCTTATCTGCGAAAGAACTTCCACAATCAGACAAAAAATGGCTTCACAAAATAAAGAGGCACAGAGAAAAGAAAGATCAGCTGTTCTCCCTCTGTGCCTTGCCCACAGCTTTGTGTCCACCCCTGGCACCTGGCACCCCTCCAGTCTTGCTTTTCTTAAAATTCTGCCCATTCACAAAAAAGAGATGTGATCCTGGGATCTCAGGGAAAACTAACAAGATGAAGGTCTTGGAGGCAGTACCAGGGCTGGATCTTAATATTCCTAGGATATGTCCACCAGAATCTCCCTGAGCCCTAAACACCTGGTTCTTAACGTCTTCTGAATCCCATGGGCAGCTTGTTAAAGTTTGAACATGGAACACTGTCATTTTTCATGTGATTCATCTCATCAGGAGCCCAAGTAAGTTAATCTAAAGACAGAAGTTAGGGAAAGGGGAAAGGGAAGATGATTGCTGCATCAAGAAAAATACACAAATTCCACCAGAAGAGGAGCAGCCTGGTTAGAAGTCAGAAGCCAGTTCAGGTAAAGTAGCTCTCACTCCCACCACTACTTACTCTGATGGGCCTCCAGCCACCTTGAGGGATGAGATCATATTCCTTTTATAAATGCACCGCTTTCTTCCACTAATACAGTTAGGAATGTAGAACAATGAGTGGATCAACTATGACTATTAGTGTCTATGGCTATGGAAACTCAATAAGTGAACCCGCTTTTCTACCTCAATAAAAAGTACTCAGACTGTCTCCTCATAAAAGTAAATGTGTTTCCTCAAAGAATATATCTGAATTACTTTTCTTGAAAACTATTTTACATGCGTTTGGTGGATACAGAATTCTACGTTGATTATTTTCCTTTCCTTTTATAAGCCTCATCCATGGATGTGACCACAACAGGGCCATATTTTTATTTTATATTTTTAACAACAAAACTTTGCATTGCCAGTTTGATCTAACCATAAAATTTTACAAAATCACAACTAATATTTCTTTCCTACCGGCTAAATTATGTCAGTCATTTAAGTGGATGGAACTAAATATAAACTGTTCTTGAGTATATAAATAATATTTTATAGGAAATGGCAAGTAATTACTATTGCTATTAGAAGTTTATATTTGTCACAGGAACCTGTGATTTTAAAAAACTGTCCAAATGATTTATGCATGAGGCTTATACATAGTACAAATGTATTCATTTGTATTTATAGATTTAAAGAGAAAAAGCAAATTGGAAAACAATCCCAAATGATAAGAAATTACCTAGCTTTGTGATATAGTAAAAAGTATAAAAATTATCTAGAAGGAAGAAAAATTATTTCTAAGCACTAACTTTATAAGCAAAAGCCCTATTTTTTTTAATGATAGGAGAAATGAACGTTTTTAAGTAAAAACTGAACTACTTATATTAACCAGTCATACTCAGTATTAATTCTATCTTGCAGTGTATGCTGCAGAAGGTAATAAAATGCTACTGTTTTCTAGTTTCTCACTTCAGTCTTCTCCAGCTTTATCTTAAACCTTGTTAGCATCAGAATTCGCCCCAACAATTACAAGAACATGACAACGGCTTCCCTGGGATAATTTGATGCTGCGACCACAAATTCCAGTCCACATACTTTCTTCTATTATGGTTGTGTCTGTGTATGTTTAATACACTTCTTATAAGGCTTTTAAAAATGAGCTAGTAGTTTCTCATTCAGCTCTCTGCCACGTTAAGAGAACCACGACAGGACATTTTTATACATGTAAAAAGTACCCAGTTATTTATACAGAATATCTTAATTCAGCTTCAGAGGACAGCGAAGAGCAGTATCGTCGCTATCATTTTACATTTCTCCTTTTTTGGGGCTTTCATGGCTGTGTACCTGCGCCCCAAAATGATCATTCGCTGCTCCCTCTCAATATTCACCGGTGGGAATAGAAAAATCTTGAAACTTGCCTGACTGACGTGTTCCCAGCCATTGCGCAGACACCAGAATCCCGCTTTCATCTGCTCATGTTGGACCTTTATCACTTAACTGACCCCATAAAACACACAGGGCTACAACACACACGGAACAGCCTCCCTCAAAATGCAGCCTGATTGTGATTCATGGCAAAAAGCTGGAATAGCCCTGCCAGGTCTTAGAAGCCTTAAGATAAACTGCACGGAACATGATACATATAAAACAGCACCTTGAAAATGAATCATCTGCTAATTCAGTATTTTCTAATTACAATCACTCCCTCTCAGGGCATGTAATTAATTTACTGAGTTTAAAAAAAAAAAAGTCAGGATTACTCACACAGTCTTGAAGATGCAATGTCAGCTATTTAGGACAGAAACATCCAAGGCCGTGCTAGAACTCAATTACCACTACATCTGCGTTAAAGCAGGAACTGCAGGCCTCTGGACTACGGCAACTATAGGACTCGTGCTGCTCGTACGCTGGGCTATAATTTATGAAACTGAGCCCCAGATCCAGCCAATCATTTAGCTCCTCATAACAAGTCTAACTGGCTCTGGAAAGCTGAAAGGGCTGCACTAGAACAACAAAGATGAGATAGTTCACACAATAATCTGCTTATCTGGAATCACTTTGGCTCACAAGGGCCAGAGGAAAATCACAGCTCCATTGTCTGAGGGCAGGACAGCCGACCTGAGAAAACGCAACTACACCTGGAGCAAGACCTTTCCTGGCTTGGCAATCCCAGGCGGAGCCGGCATTAAAGGACCGAGCTGCCCCTGAGAACTGAAGGGCAATGACAGCAGCAAAAACCTCAGGTAATTTCCATCTTTTTATTTTTAGCAGGAGTAATGCTGAGTCCAATTATATGCAGGAAGCCACTGGGGCAACTAGGTATGCTTCAATTTTATCCCCCTCCCCCCATTCTAATCTTTTGTAGGATCGTTTGTTATTAAGAGCATGAATCCAGGGAGGCTTAGGGTACCTGAAATGAACTTGAAACCGAAAGGATCGTGGGAGGAGGAAAAGAGATCATTTTCCAGAGCAGTCTTAGAGCTGTGCACCCTTCTCACCCAAACACAGAAACAAGGAAAGGGGGCTGAAGCAGGGAAAGAAAAGGCGTTTCGTGAGAACAGTTAAGTGCTTTTCGTATGGGAAAGGAAATAACTAGGCTCGAAGTGTAAATTGGGAAGGTAGGTTAATGCCCAGCTCCTCTGGCCCTAGGAACCTAGACCACACAAGCATGCACCACGTGGGGTTGTTGGGAGAGAGAATGACATTTAAAAAAAGTTGACAGAGCCCCCCGGGGGCCTGGCTTTCTGTTTTGTTTTGATTTCTTGGCAATATTTCATACTTCGCATTATATTTTAAAGTATTACGTACACCAACTACTGCTGTTATACCATAGTTCCAAATTTGTAGTTATTAAAGGAAAACATTTTTAAGTTAAAAGAGGTGACAAAAAATAGAAAAGTAAACACCCCCCACACACACACACACACACACACACACAAAATGGAATTGACATACACGTAGCCCCAGGACCACACCCTTAGGTACCTGGTGTACTTTACCCAACAGCAAATCCTTTCAAATCCTCAGCAAATAGTGTTTCTTCAACAAATTTCCTAGCAAGTGTAACATTAGCAACGAAAAAAATCTGTGTAATAAACCTTTTAATGGCTGAATCAATCATTATACTTTCGAAGCGACAACAGAACCTTCACAATATTTAAATCATGTCAGTTTTATCTGCTCCCAGCAGAAGCCAGGAAGGAAAACTTGCTTTGTTTAGTGATGAAATATAAACAATCGTAACAGAAGAAACATTTATGCACCTTTTGTTTGCTGTAGATAATTGACTGCGTCCAACTTGAGATTTGACACCAAAAAGAAAAACATAGCAGCACACCGGGAACAGGAGAAGTAATCCAACAACAATTCCCCCAGGACCTGTTCTCTGAATTGTCCCATGTGTGTCTAGCCAGGGAAGAATATTGCTTCTCTGTTTAACTATGTTTTATTTAACTAAATCTTTGTTCATTTGACAGTGCTGTTGTCTACGGTGACTATGTGAGAACCAAAACGTCTGAGGAAGCCAGGCTGTCAAAATGGTTGTTCTCTATACTCACAGGTAATATGGATCATCTAGCCTGAAGTGGAAATCAAACCCTTAAGGTAATATTGCCGTTGAATCCTCAACACACCCAACTCCCCGTTTCTCATTCCCTTAATAAAACTTCATTAAAATCCCCTCGAACTCCCATGTTTGAATGAATCTCCATTGGTCCGCAGACCAAGGCCAAGAATACTTGAAGGCCTTTAAGTCATTTCACAGGTATTGTTGTCCAGAAACTTCCCATAGGAATCACCTCCCAAGCTCTTGAAGGCAACCACTTCACCACCCAAGGCAAGAGCCTGCAACCAGCCAGCAAGCTCCTGTGCGGTCTCAGCATTCACAGGCAGCTGACTCACAGGCCGACCTCTGGCTCCTGCACCCTCACAAACACTGTTTCCATGGTCTCAACTTCAAGCTGTTCATCTCAACACACGTTCGTGATAAAAGCTTTTTAAATGATTAGCACTGCCTTCCCCTCCTAGAATCATAATAATCGTGATAGACTGAGACATGTTACTGCTCCTTGGCCCTTTGGGCGGAATCTAGATTGTTTCGTACCCGGAGCTGTCTCATAGCAGAGAAAACCTCACAGGGAAAGCAAGGAAATGATGTCTCAGTATGATCCATCTTGAGTTGATTGTGGTGCTTACATTTGTTTTCAATGCTTTATCAAAAACAATGCAGCGGAGGAGGAAACTAAAAAAAACAAACATACATACCAGACTGTAACTGTTCTCCTAAAGTTGTTAGAGCAAATATGAGTCTGCTTATAGCGGGCATCACTGTTCATTCAGCTGGGCTTGCGTGAGCAGATTCTCGCTAGAGAGACTATACCTCCTGCCATCGGCACCGATTAATATTTGTTGGTGATCGCATCAGGCACTGTCTAAGAAGCTCTTGGTATGCAAGAGGCATCCAAACAGCTGAATTCAGTTTTTACTCGTTTCCTTGATCTCAGACTCACAGACAAAAATTAAGATGACCCCGATAAAAGGAAAGTAGCTCAGGAATGCAAGCGCTTTTTCGACAAGAACTATCAGCAAATCTCAAGTATTAGAACGGCTACGGTTGACTGAAAAGTGTCTAGAAACCTGGGCCAAGCTAATCTGTCTGGCCCTGCAGTTTAGGTAGCGAAAGGAGTCACCCCTGAGAAAAGGACAAGAACCGTTTCGACCTACCTTGTCAGAGCGTCTAAGATTGCTAGGGTAGTAACTCCATTCCGGGTGATGTGGATAGATAGTCCCATCATTTTCACAATGCCGGACTCGGCCTAAGAAACCCTGCACCTCGAAGCCAGTGTGCCGGTGGGGAACTGCTGACAGTCCCAATGCTGACACTTGGAGCCAGCATTGTATGGCTTAAACCGAAAGAGAAATAGTAGCTTATAAAAATGTCAGCAGGAAGGCCTGCCTCACTTTAACAAAGCCAAAACATTTTTTTTTTCATTTAAGTTAAAAGGCATAGGTAGTAGAGATGTGAGTCTGCGGTCACAGGAAGGGTTACACTTATGTTCTTGGTTGAGATACAGCACTTTATCGGGGCACGTAGACCTCAAATTCAGATTTGCTTTCAGTATATGCGAGGGGGGGAGGGTTGTTGTGTTTTGTTTTGTTTTTTAATTCGGTCTCTCCTAAGAACATGAATTTATTTTTGAAATACTAATAATGCACTGGATAAGATTCTAAAACATATATGATACTTAAAAATAACATAAACCAGCATCCTTCTGCACTTATTTTATCTGGTTAAAATTCTTCTAGTTAATCAGACCTGAACAGAAGGATCAATTTTTCTATGACCTCACTCTTTTACAAATTTTTTTTCAAAACCCATACAACATATACATAACATATGCTAAAACTGGCAATTACTTATATTCAGCAAGAAAAAATTCCTAGTATTTGAGGTTAAAGCTACCGCTAAACTGTGTAAGCATTATAACATGGAGTTGAGAGCATAAAACTCTAAATCAGACTGTCTGTGTTCAAATCCCAGCTCTGATCCTTAACTGTGAACTTTGAGCAAGTTGCTTAGGAGTTCTATCCCTGCTTCCTCATATGTAAAATAGTAACACACACCTAGTAACTACCTCCTGGGACTAACGGGAAGATTAAATGGTCAATGCACGTTTAGAACTGACCCTATTACATGTGAGTATTCATTAAGAGAAAACTGTCGTCATCGTCGTCGTCGTCATCATTATTATTATTATTATTATTATTATTATTATATTTAAGCTCATTTTAATAAATATATATAATATCCAAAATGAAGATGAATTACTGAACAGCTGGATATGATAAAATAAATCTCACTTCAGGTAAGATTTTGTCTTAAGGCCTATGAGATATCAGCTCAAGGAGGTATATCAGTAACTGTTACTTGTCAGTCTTCTGCCCGGTTATCACTTGGACACTTTCAACCCTGCCCTGCATTCAGTGTGTCACGCAAGGACTCTAACCTAGGACATGACACAGAAGCGGGTAATTTTAGTAGGCATGATTCATGTGGTAGTTGGTACAAAGTTCAGGAAAGTTTAAAGATTCCTTCATGAAAGCAAAAAAAAAAAAAAAATTAAAGGAAGCCATTCATCTTCAGTCATGGTACCCTCACCAAAAAAAGATCCAAGGGAGGAAAAAAAAGAGCTACCTATTATAAACAGCTGTGCTCATTTTTGAAATTCTTGAACCATGTCTGGAATTCATGCTCAGCTTAAATATGAGAGAATCCTGAGGTTAATTATCTCCTTTCCTCCCTGTGACGAGGATTTCTCAGAGCAGGAGAATATTAATAAGACTTCGACCTGCTCACTGAGAACGTGCAGAGAACAGTCAGCTCTCTGAGGGAACAGCCTCCGCACGGAAGGTCTACGGACTTATACACACACACATTCATTCATTCATTCACTCATGAATATTTCACCCCTTATCTCCCACGCATATCCCCAGCAGCCACACCTAATGGTTTATCTAGTTCTGAGGGAGCCCACACTCTCTCATAGCAGTGTGTCTGGAGATGCACCCTCCATTTGTGTACTCTCCCCATACCCACCATTAAGACCGAGGAAATTTCTCTACTTCACAGTGAGCCACTTCCTCCCCACCATCTCTCCATGGAAGGTAGTTATTCCCTGTTGGGCAAATTATTGGATCAGTAACACTTACCCCATGAATTAGCACTCAACGACAAATAGCCAGTTGAAAAATTGAAAGATATTTTCAGTTTAGCAAAAATGCTTTAAAAATGAAATTTGTTGCACTTTCTGCAAGATCCCAAATGAAATCAAATATTGAGGTTTAATAGCTCTTAGACTTTGCTAGTGAGAGAATCATCTATGATCTTTTTTCTTTTTTAATCCTCACCCTAGATATATTATTGATTTTTATTTTATTTTTTTCATTATGTTTTTATTGGTTTTAGAGACAGAAGAAGAGGGGGGGGAGAGAGAGAAAGAGAGAGAAAGAGAGGGACATTGTGGGCTGCCTCCTGCACACACCCACCCCCTACTGGGGACCAAACCCACAACCCACAACCCGGTCATATGCTCAGATGGGGAATTGAACCAGTGACCTTGTGGTACATGGAACTATACTTAACCAACTGACCCACACCAATCAGAGTTATTTATTGATTTTTAGAGAGAGGGGAAGGAAGAGAGAGAGAGAGAGAGAGAGAGAGAGAGAGAGAGAGAGAGAAACATTTATGTGAGAGAGAAACATTAATCAGTTGCTTCCTCTATATGCCCCAACCAGTGATCCAACCTGCAGCCTAGGTATGTGCCCTTACCAAGAATTGAACCAACAAACTTTTGGTGTATGAGACCACCCGGCCTGGCCTGTGACTAAGGGGACAGTTGCTTGGCATTGGATATCACCAAAGAGGAAGAGCATGGGATGGACTAGAGAATTTCAGAAAACTGTGTTGGAGGGTTACCTTCAGAATTGTGACACAGGTCCAGTTGGTCTCTAGCTCCTCTCCCACTTCACCTCTGCCTCGCCCTGAGAAAAAAAATAGTTCCCCAGCTCCTGTTACCAAAGTGGCCCACCAGGGACCTGTCCTTCCCTCCCATCACATGAATCCTTTTGTGTGCCAAAACCCCAGGCAGACTGGTTAAACCAATCTGTGCCAACATGATTAAATATTCCTGTTATCTTTCAAGTAGCACCCCATTTTAACAGGAACTTTCCAAGAATAGAGCTGAACCAAAAATAACCACATTGAATAATTTAAGCCTCTTGGAACATGACAACAAAGACAGACAGGAATCACACCAGCATATCAGCCACATTCTCCTATCAGCCACCTTCTCCTACATGCATAGCCCTGGGCTAAGGAGAATGCTAACTTTTCACTCCTCCACACAAGGCCACTATATAGTTGGTCAGTGCACAACCTGTATAACCAACCACTCATACCAGCCTGCCCTTGATGATCCATAAGTCTTCCCTCTGTACAGCAAGAGCACAATGACCACCAACCACGGGAAGATTTCTCACTTATTTAACCCTTACTTCTACCATAGAGGTAAATAATTGGTACCTCATAACCACCTCCAATGTGGCTATGGAGACACATTTTTAATCACCAGCAACTAAAAGAGGCAGAGGTTGCTCATGTCTCACAGTCCATAGGTTTTTGTTTTTCTTTTTTTCTTTTTTTCTTTTTTTTGCCATAGAATTTAAGAGCACAATCAGAGGAGTGGAAGGACAGCAGACTGCAGTTGAGACCTCTGCGCAATATAAAATAATGCAGCAACTCTTGAACTTTATGGGCATCAGGATTACGAAAGCTGCTTCTGAAAATGGCAGGCCCCTGACTCCTACCACAGGATACTGATTTTGTAGGTCTAGAACGAAGCCTAGAAACCTGCATCTTATTGGAACCCCTGATGATTTTAAAGCCAGTTATGCCTGATTACTCCTTGAGAAACATTGAGACAGTGCATGCACAAAACACTTAACACAAAGCCTGGCACATTACAAGTGCTCGATACTTGCTAGCTATAATTACTCGACACATACTAGCTATAAGAATCAGAATCCATCCCAATGTCATATCCTTTACTTAGACTTGACCTTTTGCTAAGTGCAAATTGCACATGGGTGTGGCCATGTGATAGGAAGCCAGGAGCTGGTTTAGTG